CAGGGTCCTGCTTCTGCCGATGCCATCCAGCTACGGCAATACCAGTGAAGGTTCTCAGTCATCCAGGTCATGGTGACCCAAAAGGGTTCAAATGAAGTCCGCTGCACTTCTTTGGTTTCCTGAAGACGTTTCACTTGTCATCCGAGGATCCAGAGAAGTTTCTGCTCGTTAAACAACAACAGTCAGCTGCAGCTAATCAGCTTGAATCTCTCATGTTCCAGTTAGAATCATCAAAGCTCCTTACGTTTAATTCAGGATCGTTTTACTGTCACTGCACAGGTGTACACATGAGCGTCTGGTCGCTCTCAAACAGGCAGTGTAGTGTTCACATACAGTTCTGAAGGACTTCTCAGGAATGCAGAAAACCCCGAGCCCGTGGGCGGAGTTTAAGACACGTGGGAAGGTCCTCCTTCCGCGACCCTGTCGGGAAGCCCAAGGCGCTGAACACGGTACGTGAGAAATGTGAAACATGATGAATAAATCGAAAATAAAAGCAATTCAAATCATGCAAAAAAGGTAAAACATTAAAGTAGAAGACAAACGGGTAAAACAAGAGATAAAGAGACCGATGAAAACAGGGAAATAAAAGAGGAAAAATTCAAACACGTTCAGGGAACGCCAAGCGGAGGAGGCGGGTTTTTAGGTGACTTAATGACTGGCAGAGATGGGGACAGCCTAACTGAGGGTGGCAACTGGTTCCAGAGTGACTGAGCTAGGACTGAGAAAGCCCGGTCCCCACGAGCACGACACCTAGAACGAGGAACAGCGAGCAGGCCTTGGTCAGAGGAGCGCAGAGCTAAAGGGCAGGGTAGAGATAGGCCTGTAATGTTCGATCACAGAGACATCAGCACCAGGTTTCTTCAGGGTCGGCCGAATAACTGCTGCTTTCAAAGCAGCTGGGACCACACCTGTGCTGAGGCTCCCATTGATAATCTGACCAAGTGAAGGGCCAAGACACGGAAAGGCAGCCTTCCAGAGACGAGGCAGCAGAACATCAAGTGGAGAGCCAGATGGCTTCTGCCTCGCAACAAGCTTACTCAGCTCAGAGTATGAAACAGTATTGAGGGAGCTCAGGGTGGGTGGTGATGGAGGAACTGGAACAGGGTCAACAGAGTTACCAGAAATAGCTGCTCTAATGCCTGATACTTTATCTACAAAGAATCTGTGAAAAGCTTCAGAGTTTCCAGCAGCTGTAGGAGACATGGAGCTAGGCTCCTGATACACCAGAACTGAGTTTAGCGTTTTGTAGAGAATCTTAGGATTCTTGGAGTTTGTCTCAATGATGTCTGCAAAATAGGCCGTTCTGGCGGCCCTCACTGCATCCTGATAAGCAACCAGAGATGCTCTGAACAACTCACGCGAGACCTGTAGGCCATCCTTTTTCCACTTTCTCTCAGAGGATCTACACGCCCGCCTGCAAGCCCGTGTGACATCAGAGAGCCACGGCTCCCTCCTAGGCCGAGACTTGCAAAGCTTGAGAGGGGCAACCACGTCCAGGACCTGATTACAAAGTACATCAAAGTGTTGTGAATAGTGTTCAGTGTTAGATGGATCTGGGTTAAAGGTCTCTAACCTTACAGACATACAGTCCACAAACTTTGAAACAGTTTCTGCATCCAGGACTCTGAACCTAGTAGCTGGAGCTTCACACACAGGGACAGGACATGGCAACGTAACATCACAGAGTATTGGAGAGTGGTCAGAGAACACAGGAGGCAAATGGGCCATTCCCATCTGTACCGGGTCAGCCCGGGCCGGGTAGCGTAGGTTGTTTACATATCTGGGTGGCCTGGTATTTTTCCGGGCCAACCAAGGCTCATTCTCAGCCCTCTTCTGGAGGGGGTCTGCTTCAGGCCGACCAGGGCCAACACACCCACTGCTGACAGCAAATTCACACCTTCCATTAGAGCAAGCCTCTGATTGGTGGGTAGAATCAGCCCACATGGGCTTAAGACAAGGATGTGTGGAATCAACCGGGCCAGGCTGGGGCCGACTGGGGCTACCCGGCCCGGGCCGACCCGGTACAGATGGGAATGGCCCATTAGTCTCAAGGTTAGGGTTAGGGTTAACCAAAAGAGAGAACCAGGTCCAGGGTGTGACCCCTGGCATGAGCTGGGGACGATACCCATGGAGTTAGAGGAGAGGTAGCTGAAGAGCTGGATGTTCTGTATGATATGTGCACGATACGTAAAGATTTTAATGCCCTCATCTACAGATATTAATTCATTAGCTACAATTGATTGTCTGAAAAGCATTTAGTTTTAACGCCTCTGGCCCTGAAGGTCTGCCTTCACACAACAAACTGGTCCAGTCCCATTTCAGCCTAGATGGTGAAACTGTGATGCAGACAAACGATGGTCAGTGACTGAAAGTTGGGAGGATTAATTGAGGGATCAAATTATCTGTTTTACATCTCAGACGGTCTGGATCTCTCTCTGACTCCTTAACCCATTCCTGTTTCATCACATTGGTACAGTTTGTCTCCCAAACAGGGTTTTGTCCACAGGAGACGGTCTGAACATCAGAATCTGGTTCGTGTGTGTCAGTAACTGAGTCTAAAGTACGAGGTGGACTCATTACATACAAGGCCAGACCTTTCAGGACTCTAGGTGTTATAATTGGGATGGTCATGTTAACTTCTTATGAAAATCCCACATACAAAATCAGGATATTAAAATAAAAGTAGTTTTAAAAGGACAGAGAAATGTCAGAGACCATATCTGTACTTTGGGCTTCTCTTGCATTTACTGAAATAAAGCAACTTTTGCACCATCTCCTAATGTTTTGAGCTCCACCTTATTATGGTCTTAACTAACCTAAACAAACTAGTCCCCCCCCCACCCCCTGCTGTGATCCTCTGCTGGCACCGGCCTCGGCTGAATGCTGTTGCTGCTTGTATTCAGCACCAAAGTGCAGTTTGGACTCAGATGTGATCAGATGACACTGATCATTCACTTACTCTGAAACCTCTCCACTTATTTGTATAATTAACTGCTATTTCAAAATGCGTTAACGGTGTTTCCTCTTTTCAAGTCCATCACTGTGAGCACAAAGCCACACGTTCACCTCTCTTTTCTGTCGCATACGGGAAGTGGCTGAGTGAACGCACGTGGCTAATGAGATAATGGAATCAATGAAGTTGTAACTGCCGAGGGTAAGGAGCAGCGTGCAAACGTGACCCTGTCTGCAAATGAGCTTGACCCATGCCGAGAAAGGGGAGGCGCTGGTGTCTCCGGCCTGCCTCCCGGCTTGTGCAGCATCAGAGGATTTACTGGCAGACCGACACCGTGTCTGCAGTGGTGCTGTCTGCTATCTCAGCCTCACCCTTGCTCTGTGGCTCTTCTGGCAGACGGTAACTCTGTAAATGACTTTGACCTTTCCCGGGAACGAGGACAGGAACCACGGAGGCAGAGGAGAGAGATGGCGGGAGGAAAGAGTGGTGTAGGCGGTTGACTGTAATAAACTCGCAGCAGTGGGCGGCTGTCAACACTAATAGATGGATAAGGGAGGGGTGGGGGTCGCCTGGTTGATGAATACTAAAGGTGCCTGAGTCCTCCGTGAGCACTCGCTGTTTTCCCAGGATGGTGGGAGTGAGATGCTCACAGAGGGATCAGAATACAGGCGGGCGGTGCAGCCTGTGTCTGTACACATCAACAGTGTATTTGTGTTTAATACCACAGCGTTTCATCTGCGTTCATGAACACCAGTGGTATTCATCCAGGTTACCTCCAGTTCATGGCCATTGAAGGCTCCTGAAGCCGTCATCGAGTGAAAGGGAGCACCTTCACAAATCCATAATTAAATCTGAACATTTATCTGCTTAAATGAACACGTCTGGTGGTGATAATTCATGAGGATTTAACTCCAGTATCTCTTTTTGTTCCTGTTCTACTATAAAGAGACCACTAAAGTGTGTGAACGTGTTTGTCTGCCGTCCACGGGGAGAAGGTTGAGGCATTTTTGGACCAAAGCAGTAAACGTTGGCGTGTTTTAATGAGAGGCTTGTTATAAACGGCGCAGTGGTAGTCATCCTAGTTTAAAGGCCTTAATGGCTTAGTTAAGATGTGAATGTTCCCATTAGTCAGTGGGAACAGACCAGGAAGTGCACTGATGAATAAATAATAAGTGCTGCATTCATAGTGGAGTTATCGTACTTCAGGTTTGATCCGGACCAGCAGAAGTTATGAGACCCAGACCGGTTAACCGCTCCTCACCCGAGCTGCAAGAGCCCGTTAGGAAACGGCTCCTTCATTAAGCACCTGAGCATGTGAGAAGCTGTGGTTGGCCCTACGCTCGCTCTAACACAAACAGATGTGGTCCAACATGTGTGAGGGGTGGTTTGTCCCGGTCCTCTGTGCAGAACCGTAATTCTTCAGCCCATCAGAAGGTCCGTCTGTTTAAGGTCAGGCGTTCTCTCACAGGATGGGCTGGAGGGCTGGAGGGCTGGGTTTGTGGTTCCAGTTAGAGCCGGTGGTCCGGGTGCTGAAGCAGCAGCACAGCCCCAGACCACCACAGCATGTTGATGTCTTCACGTGAGCTTTACTCCAGAAGAAACGGGAGACTGCTTCCAGACAGTCCTGCCTCTGGCTCATCCGCTCTCAGAACTCAACGGTCTGGAGGATGATCTAGATGCTTCCGGGTCTGAGCAGCAGAGGTTCTGGTCTTGGAACCGTCTCATTCATCTGAACCAAGTGAGGTCTGCTGTGCTGCACGCGCTGATCCAGCTCCTTTGGTTCTTGAACTTTTCAGAGCGTGGCTTTGGGAGATGTTTGAGCCGACTTCATGTTTAATCGGAGTGGCTGCTGGAACTGAACTCACAGCTAAGTCATTAGTGATTTGTTCATTGGGTGTCAGCTGTGTTGCTTTTGCACGCTGAACCAGTTTGGTGTTCAAAACAGAAAAACTGCTTCTTCACAGGAAGCACCATGTCTGGATGTTGACCTGTGACCTTTGATCTGGGACCTTATTAAGCCCACTGTTTCTTTGTTTTCTCATCGCAGGAACGAGGAAAGGTCGGCGTGATCTTCAACGTGGGAACGGACGACATAACCATCGAGGAGAGCGCGGTGTCGGTGAGCGACGGCAAATACCACGTGGTGCGATTCACACGCAGTGGTGGCAACGCCACGCTACAGGTGGACAACCAGCCTGTTATCGAACGGTTCCCCTCAGGTAGGACCTCCATTAGAGAGCCGATTGTTAACGAAAACATCTTGGTGTAAAATCTGCCGAATAAGTCGGGAAGCACACTGGAGAGAGAACAAAGGAGCTTTGGAAAATGGGTTTTGTTTTAATTTGGACCCTGCAGATGAGCTGTAATGTTCTAGATGATTCAGTCAGGTTCTGGGCCAAAAGGCAGGAAGAGCTACAGAACCTCCCTGAGGCAGGTAGTCTCCGCTTTAAGAGCATCGAGTCTGTGCAGTTAGTGCACCGTCGTAGCCCCTGGCTCTGTGGATGGAGGTCAGCTGAATACCAACATGCATTCAGGAAGGTGAGCTCCACTGCAGAGGGCTGGGACTTCTTCCTGGGGATGTGCATCTGCCCCGGCTCGACCACGTCCTGAAGCTCAACATCACAGCGAGGGAAAGTGCTCGTTTCCCCAATCGCTGTTTCACCATGATCAGGCTCTTCTATTTCTGGAAGCTCACACTTAGTTTCTCTCTCCAGCGTGTTTCCTTCCTGCTCATGGTTGTTCAAAGGAAAGCGTTTTGGTTCCCAACTCGGGATTTCACGTGGTGACCCTGAGCTATGAGCTGGACCCTGCCTGCATCAGCGGTGACGTAGAATACAGAATCAGGAGTTTTTAGGATGCTGTCTGTATCACTTTCCGTCTGCGTTGTCTGGAAGAGCTTTTGTGTGACGTCGTAGTTTAACTACAGCAGGGCGAGTGCTGCTGATGCGGCCGTGATGTTTACTCTGGTTGACACACACACAGAGCAAAGAGACGGTGACGTTCCCTTTCACAGCAGTGACCCGGTGTTTTCTGGCTGGGTTTGGGCGTATTCTGTTGCTCATCCATCAGCACGGCGAGGCCGGAGCGAGGGGCGTGCATCGTCACCAGAGCAGGAAGCGCTCTGGGACAGTTCACTCGCTTTAGTCGTTGTTATGATGGAAATGGAGCGTTTTCTCCTAAACGCACACGCCCCAAAGACGACGCAGGAAGTAACCGCAGCCCGTTAACACTGGTGTGTTAATGTCACCGTCTGTTTTACTTCATCAAGAAATGTGAACGCACATCCCATAATGAGTTCCTTTTATCCCCGTTCCCTTCCGCCCTCCCCGTCGCCGCTGTCGTCCTCATCAAACGCTCCTTTTCCTCGTCTGCTGATGAAGAATTGAAGAGTTATTCTGTTGTTGTTTGTTGGTTTATCAGGTGAGTCTGGTGTTCGTCTGAAGTTGTTCTCCAGGCTGAGGGAAGCAAACAGAGCAGCTTTCATTCATTTATGCAAACTATTTTTGGGCGCTGGCTTCAGACGTCGGTGTCTGGCTGGGCGGCGTTCCGGGGAAAGCGGATATGTTACACATTAGGAAAGCAAAACCTCAGCCGAGGCGCAGGCACCAGAGGGTGGAGATGTGTGTGGATGTGTGGGGAGGGGGCAGGAGCTTCCAACGCAGTGCAGGAAGACAAGGTGTGGTTATGTGTTGTCGACTAAAGGAGACAGAAGGGAGCTCGTTTGTGTTTGTGACCCAGATCAGACAGATTCTAACTCTTGAGACACGAAATATTCCCGTTTTCACTTTGTAAACATGTCTGGACCCAAGTGTCCTTTTCCTGATGTCGTGCTATTGCTGCATTGTCCCAACACCAGTTAGAAATCATCTTAAAGTCTCCCTCACAACTGGTTTAGCAGACGTCCGTGAGATACCCTCACTCCATGAAACACGTTTGTCTAATCCCAATTACAAAACACAGAGGTGCAGCTTCCAGTGTAAGCCCCGCCCCCGAGGGACCAGTGCCGGCATCAGGCAGTCTCTTTAGGGTGTGCTGGATTCTGAGCTCTGCGCATTACTCCGTGTACACAGGAGTTTATCCCAAACCTCATCCAGTTGAAAGTCAACACCCCCAGAAGGTGTACGGCGCTGCAACGTAAAAACCCTAACCTGACGTAACTCACGTGTGAAATAACGACTGCAGAGGGAAAAGATGCGAGTGAAAACTGAAGGCTCACCGCTGACACCGCATACCTGTTTCCCACACGGGAGAACTGAGTAAAATATATTAGGAAATATGATGATTTTATTTCTTTGCTGAGGAATTTTGTCAAGTAACTGTATTTCATTAGAAATTCTGAGTAAGCTTTACTCAAAAGTACAAGTTGTGAAGATGTTGCATCAAACGAGGAACACTTAAAATGCCTAAAGCTACTTCTGGAGCTGCAGGTGCTCGCAGGTGTGTTCCTGTCTCAGACGTATGACTGGAACCTGACTGGCAGGTGTGTGACGGCTCGCTCGAGCTGTTTGTGTTAGAAGGACCAACACCTTCATGTGGTTGACCTTCAGGAAGTCCTGGCTGTTGAGTTGGATGTTATTCCACTTTTGCGTGTGACCAGACTGGCATGGGGAGGAGGAGCCCAGCGTTGGACAGCCATTCCTACAGAAACATTAACTACAGAAACTAAGTCAGCTAAACCTGCTAAATGTCCCCGCTGCCATAGAGCAAGCACACATCTGGAAGCTATTGCATGGTTTCACGCAGTAGTCAGGCGCTGGCTCGCCAACAGCGGGCTAGCGCGCTGTTGGCGAGCCGATGATGTCGAGAGACAAGATGTTGGCAGCAAACATGGTCGTCACGGGTCAGGCACATTCAGCAGCACAGCAACACGTCGTCTGATGTCCCACAAAGTGATGTTTGTAGTCCTGAGGGAGTCTGGGTCTGTGGGTGCTCGGGTCTGATTCGACGTGCGACAGTGCACGTGTCTGTCTGCGCAGCGCTCTGCCCTGTGTATCGTGTTTTTGTGCCTTTGTGTGTGCACATACGCATGCGTGCACTTGATGGACGAAGAGCAGACCGAAAGTGTCAGAAGGGCGCCGGTGCAGCTAATGCCATATGTCAGGTGTCCCCGGTGGGGGCTGCAGCAACAGCTATTGCCCCACCCTTCGTCTCATATTGCCCAAATGGCAGACTGGCGGGATAAATTCAGCCATGCATCTGCCTGAGCAGCGCCAGCCTGCCTTAGATAAACAGGAAGATGCTACATAATAGTAAAATAGCTCTGTTCCAAACACAAGTTGTCTTTTTCCTTTAAGAACGGTCCTTTCTGATGGATCAGAGAACGCGTTATTGTTAGACTCAAACAGCCTGCTCCCCGACAGAGTTTCCTCTAGAGGCAGTCCTTTCTCTCCTTTTACCATCAGACGACATCCTTTTCCTTTCTGGAGAAGTGAAGTGGTGTTTCATCCACACGGGAATGCACCTGCAGGGTCTGTAAACCTTCCCGACTCGTGTGTGTGAGCCAGACAGAAGAAGAAAACTGTTCTACGTCCAAGACTTTGACCTTCTGACTCCTGCAGGAGTCTGATGTAACAAGCCAACTCCTCAAAGCTTTGGGGATGCGGAGTGTTGAGGGACTCAGCACAACATACAGAGAAAAGTTTCTAAATGGCTAACATCAGCTAACCTTTTAGCCCTGAAAGCAGGCGTGTGTATTGGCTTGCTGATCGTGTAACTTCCAGCCTTGTTGATGAAATCATGAGAGAATATTTACTTAACAAAAGTGTCAAAGTAATATTTGGTGGGTTTTGGTTTATTTGGATGTTTTGGATTATTTTCAGGGCTCTGATGCAACTTCCCTTCTGTTCTCTTACCTTTGCTGAGTGCATGGTCATCTCAGTTAAAACATGCGAACGCCATCATTCTCATATTGGTGTGTAGAAGCGCAGCTGACCTGAAGCGTCATGTGTTCATCCACCAGACTGTAATCAGCCGCCAACGCATCTGTTCATGTGTTAGACCGCCGCTCATGACCTCCCTACAGTTGTCAGCAGCTGATCTGCCCTCTGCGCTACACGCTCTAACCTGTAATTATCGTGCTTTTGTAAGATGACCAACACAGAGGAACACTTGGGTAGAACCCAACAACTCCCCTGCAACACAAACGCCACCACTTGTTTTATTAATCTGTTAAGTTTAGATCAAAATCTGATTCAAGCGTGTTACCTAATTATTATTATTATTATTAAACCATTTCCTTCGGGTTAGCGTTTATACTTTTGGTCTAATTAACACAGACTCTCTAGCACCAATGAATGCATGAATGATTGTCCTGCAGAAACACATGGATGTCTTTTTCACACACAGGTGGAGCTTCACCGTTAGATGAATGGTGTCCTTGTGAAAACATCAATGTTCTCCTTTTGCAGCCCTTTCACACAACAAGCTGATGTCACACAATCAGCTTTGTTGCTTAGATGGAAAAAGCTCAATTACTTTTGATTTCAAACAGAAAATGAATCAAGTGTGCGTTGACTTTCTGTAAAGTTTCTCCCCATCCACCCAAGAAGGCGTCTAGAAGAGCGCTCATCTTCTCTGTTAGCCCACTGGTGTCATTTTAATACACAGTTAAAACACGACGCTCTCTACGCTTTTATCCTCGGGTTTCTATTGAAGCACTAGTCCAGCGTGCAGTCCTGTCCAGAATATCGACGCATGTTGAGCAGACGTGTTCTGTAGAAGCACATTAGACCTGTTCCAGAGCTGCTTCTGCGGCCCAGACACTCAGAGCGAAGGTCAGCCTCGGCGAGAGGGCTTCTGCTGCAGCATTAATCCTCCAGCTGCCCTTTCAAAAGCTGCTCCAGAAACAGAGCAGGAGAAGAAAAAGAGAGACATCCAAGAGGGAAAATGTCTGAGTGGTCGAGTGAGATGTCCGGAGTGTATTTAGTGCAAAAGTCCTGAGCCAGACGGGTTTAGTTTTAGCCGCCACACTTTCTCTACGTGTCCGTAAGCGGTCTTGAACCAGACTGTTTAAAGGTCACTCAGCGTGTTTCTCTGGACAGGTGCTGCTTTTCTGCTCGTTTGTAGTTCAGCCACTGAACATTTCCAGAGAGGATAGTTTTTTAAACCACTCAGCTCTTGTCTTTGAATCATTCAGGCACACAGAAGGCCTCCGACAGAAGAACTGGACCGTTACTTAGTTCAGTCTTGAATTGTAATTTTAGCCATTTTCTTATAAGTA